AAAAACAATACTTTATAAAAGTAGTGTTGTGTTACCACAGTATGGAAGAAACTATTAATGCAACTCAATCGTTTCAGTAGGAACAATGATCATCAGGATTACGTTAGGCTGTATATCATAGAAAGACTGACTGGCAGCAATTTAATCAGGATAGAAATTTATGTCCTCCTTTGGAAAAAAATCTTGCAGTAAGAATGTGAGAGTTGTCACTGTGGTTTTCTAATAATGAGCTGATTAGTCTATTAGTCTATTTTCCTATTCTAGCATCCTCAGCACTTAGTTTCCAATCACAAGGTCACTTCATGGTCAAACATGGTTGGTGTTGCTACAGACGTCATTTCTTCATTTCAAGCCAGCAGAAAAAGAATGCGAGGGCAGAAGGGTCATTCTTCCAGTCAAGTCAGTTCTTTCTAAGGAAACTCCCACTTGGTCCTCACATTTCTGCTTTTATTTTCCTGGCCAGAACACAGTCACCTGGCCAGGCAGAGTTGCAAATGAGGCTAGGGAATAGCAACTTTTAGCAATTTTCATTGTCACCTTAAATAGATTTCTATTATCAAACAAAAGAGGAATATGGATTGTGTTAGTTATTATCTCATTTATAGGATTATCTTCAAATATGCAAGACAGCACGTGGATTGAATTTTATTATTCATCACTCTAAGAAATCTATTTTCTCTCCTAAACATTGTAACTGAAAATTGAGAATAACAGTCCTACAAAAGGTAATTATTTAAATGAAAAACAATACATGCTCTAAAATAATCATTTTCATTAATAATCGTTAGATTAGAACTCAGTCTAGAACTAGATTAAAAATATTGCCAAACAATACCCATTGCTTTGGACAGAGGAAACTCAGCTCATGGAATTATTTAAGAGGAGGGAGCAACTATGCCTATAGGAAGGGAAGAAGGGCAGAGACCTTAGACATTGGCTCTTTGGATCCACCTTTTAATGGAGTTACCGGGGTGAGATTGAGGAAAAGGCAGGGTGATAGAAGTTAAGAAATTGGTGAATAAAAATTGAGACAAGTAAATGTCTAGGAATTACAGGAGTCTTTAGTCTTCAAAGAAAAAAAAATCTCCAAATATTGTTCATAAAAATTAAATCTGTTATTGGGTGATGACCCTGGCTTTGTAAAGTTGAAAAATGAAACCGTTATCTAAGGAATTCAAGCAAAACTCTTTGTATTATCTGAGTTATTTGAATAATTGAGGTGAAAGTGGGATTTCTGCCTGGATTATTCACATAATTGCCTTAACTCTAAGATTCATTTGGTGGGTAGAGACTTTTCCTTAGGATGTATTTTTAGAATGCTAAATGTGAAAAATTAGACTTCTAAATTAAGCAAAGCAATAGAAGGAGGGAGTGACGGAGGAGAGAGAGGGAAACGAAATAGTAAGTAGTTCATTGTCAGAATAAATCTATACTTTTTTCCCTATACTTTTTCTAATGACAATAACTGACATCCACTTTTTTATCATAGAATGAACTTCCATGATGAATAAGGGAGCTATATATGGGTCTCCATATAACCCACAGTATTTTCTAAAGTCATAAATTCCTTTTTGAATTTCAATTCTTTAAGGTTTGGAAAATTAGTGGCTCCAAATCCAGCCATTTAATTTTATAAAGCCAAGTAAATTGACTTAAAAATCATACTGTATTCTCCGGTTGACTTCATATTGTTGGTCTTTGCCTTGAGTGCTTAAAGACAAATTAAAAGGATGATCTTATCCAAGTTGCCACTGCATTCTCTTCTTTGGTAGCAGAACTTGGCAGTGAGCCAAAATGAGAAACTATTTGCCAGCCTCCCCTATAGCTGAGTGTCTCATATTACTACGTTTTGACCTACAAATGGGAATGTTGTTTGAGATTCTGGATAGGATCCCTCTTTTCTGGACTGCTTCTGGCTTCTACCGAGGACAGGTGCCTAGATCTCCAGTAGCTATCTTGGGACATTGGGCGATTTTAAGAATAGAAGCCACACACTAGGTTGGTGAATGAATTAGAAGAAACTTGAACCCATGATGACTATACCTGCTCCAGGGTGCCGACTTTTTACTGTTTTAACTTAATAAAGTAGAAACTTTTATTTTAAGACATAATTATTTCTAGTTCTGTTACTTGCAGGTGAACACAATTTCTATATGACATTAAAGTATTGGTTGAAAATATTTTGGAATTTTAGGGTTAATTTTCCAGATATGTATAATTGCCTCTTTCAATCCCCACCCCTCCACACACTCCAATTTGTAAGAAAGAAAACTAAGCAATTAGTTATATGAAGTTGTACCAGTAATACATTTTGTGCAATTATAAATGATAGCATTTGCAGTGGGAATTGTGAGAAGTGAAAACTAAAGCATTACTAAAGAATTTCTCAGCATGTATACATAAACTTAAAAAAAAAAAGCAGTGGGGGGCACCTGGGTGGCTCAGTTGGTTAAGTGTCTGACTTAACTCAGGTCATGATCTTAACGGTTTGTGGGCTCTGTGCTGATAAAGCAGTGGAAGGAAGGAAAATATAGAAATAGAATGTAGCAATAGAATGTTAACAGTTTTTTTTCACAGATTTAGCTAAGGTAAGTATAATATTTATAGCAAGACAGGAAGGAAACATCTATAGAGCAGTCTGATGGAGTAGTAAGTATTAATTTTCTCTTTAGAAGCTGCCCCAATTCTCTCCATCTTTTAAGATCCAGCTCTTCTATGAAATACTCATCAATCCTCCTATAAAAATTAACCTTTGCCCTTGTTACATTCATTAGGACCAGTACTAAGTTACAGTGAGGGAAGTGTATGTCTTAGACACAATATTTTAAGGGGAGCCAAAAAGCTCAGTAATCAAGAAAAATATTTTAATGGAATATTTTAATTAGCACATTATAGCATGCAGTCCAGTCTCTTGTTTTAGATATAAATTTTTAATTGTTTCACATTTATCTCTATTATAGCACTCAAATAGTGCTCTTTATGAATGTTCTCTCCCAACAGTACCGTACTTATTTTCATATTCCTCATGTGCCTACTACTTTGTTTTAAGTGTGAAGTTCTCTTAAAAAATATTAAATCGAATCTATTGAAAGATTTTGCAAGAATATACTGTGTTACAGGAAGCAGGATTAAGTTTTCATCATTAAATTTAACTATAGCAGAAGAATAACAGAGGATAATGGATGCTTTGAAAGTACTTATAATTCAGGGGTGCCTGGGTGGCTCAGTCGGTTGGGCGGCCAACTTCGGCTCGGGTCATGATCTCACCGTTCATGGGTTCAAGCCCCTCATCGGGCTCTGTGCTGATAGCTCAGAGCCTGGAGCCTGCTTTGGATTCTGTGACTCCCTCTCTCTCAGTCCCTCCCCTGCTCATACTCTGTCTCTCAAAAATAAATAAATGTTAAAAATTTAAAAAAAGTACTTATAATTCAGTTCTATGGGAAAATCACCTGACTTCTCTTTGACTAAAACCCTGCTCAGTCTGGAGAGGCGGGGAATTATAATACTACTTTATATTCATATAGCACTTTGCTCTACATAAAGTGCTTTCTTTTAATTCTCACCTTAATTCTGTAAAGTAGGTATTATCATCCTTATTTTTTACAGAAAGACTGAAAAGTTAAGTGACTTGCCCAAGGAGTTATAGGCAGAAAGTGGGAGAACTGGGGTTCTAACCCAGGTTTTCTGTGTCGAAATGTGATGCCTTTCTGCTATTCCAAATGCTAAGTCTTGGGATTGACCAAGGAGAAATAATTCATGCAGCAACTACAACAGTGTGTGTTGTGTTTATTAAACAATGTCAGTAGCACCCAAAACGGCAGTATTTTACTGAGCGTAGTCTTCTTGATTAAAACTGTTCTGATTTTTATGTGTTTGGTGAAGTAGCTCAACTCTTCTGATACAGGATCAGAAGTTCCAAGGTAATTTTTTTGGTTGGGGGCAGAATCTTACATTAAATGTAAGAACATTAAATGTCAAAGAACAGGGGGGAAATGAGGAAATTATATATCACCTGAGTATTAGTTTCTAACTACCACTTTATCACTAATGTGTGTGTGATATTCTGCAAAGCATGTAAACCATATGTTTGCTTCTTTATGAAAAGAAACATTTGGGAAGGTCTTTCAGCTGAAAAAGTTTATTTCAATGTGAAATACTATTACAGTATTCAAGACTTAGGAATTAAGTTTAACGGGTTGCTTTTTTTATATTTAGGGGGGAAATCTAGGACTAAACTTTAAAACACCATACAGTAATTAAATTTGAGAGCCTATAACTGCTTCAAATATAATTTTCATCAACATAAACATAATTCCAAGCCAAAATGCCCATTATCAGCCAATCTAGTAGAAGATTTCTTCCGCAAAACTACAGATTCTCCTCTCGGGTTGCTGCCCAGAGATTTAAAAAACTTCAGTCTTCTTTTTGTATGCTGATAGCTGAATTCCAAAAGAAAGCCTCTTTCTCCAAAACAACCAGAATTCAAAGAAATTCAAAGCTATTCATTTTGATGAATTGCAACCTGTCATCAATAACTATTTATTGAATGTCCACAGGGTGCCTAGGCATTTAAGTGGCAAGTGATTTATTTGCATTATTCAAAGGATTTCTAAGGGGAGTCAGAAGATTTGCAGACGTCTTTAAAGATGCAAAGTGGTGTGTGCTTCTCCCATTTAAACTGCCCCTACAAGGAATGAATTGAAAAGTCTGGGTTTCAGAGCTCTAGGGATTTCTAGCACTCAGAGCTGACTTTTGTAAGCGAAGACCCCATTGGGTGCCAGGCGATAGGCGGGCTGGTGGTCAGAACATGGCCCCACTAGGGGCTTCTGGACAAGTTAAGCCTTCCCTGGGCTGAAGCAGGGCTGACTGGCGCAACGGCTGCCCTGACCGGCCACCCCATGCCTCCCCCCTACCCCTCCACTCCCACCCCCACACGAGGCTCACACCCTCTCCCAGTCTCCCGGCCTCGACCGGTTCTCGCGAGATCCGGGTAACTGAGCGATCGGGGCCTTTTCAAATCGGGATCCGTTACCGCTTTCCCGGCCGCCGCCATTGTAGCGCTCGGAGCCCCTAAGCGCAGGCGGCCGAGGCGGAGGCGGAGGCATCGGCAGCGGGATGGCGGACGCCGACAAGCCCGAGGTGCTCGGGGCCGCTGGCGACGACAGTCCGCATCAGCAGCCCGTGGAGCAGCCGGGCGAGCCGCGGCGAGAACCGCATCCGCCGGAGCCGGAGAAGCAGCCGCCGCAGCACAGCAGCAGCTCCAATGGCGTTAAAATGTATTGTCTTTTCCTCCGGGGATCAGGGCGAGGTGGGGGGCGGGGAGTCGGCCTGGGAGGGGGGCGAAGCCTGCCTGGGCCTCGATGGGGGATACCCAGCCCCGGGCCGTGGGCGGCTGGAGGAGCAGGTGCACCAGGGCCGCTCCCAGGCCCCCCTTCCCTCCAGCCCCGGGCCGGGTGAACCGGGGTGCGAGCCGGGGGGCCGATGCCCCTCTCCTGTTTCCAGCCGGAGACAGCGGGTCACCCCTTCTTCCTACACTTCCAGCCGGAGAATCTTTGAGCAAAGCACGGCGGCCGCCACGGTCTGGAGGAAAATGGTCCCCCTTTTAAAGCCCAGTACTGTAGTTAGTGTTCATCACTAGGGAGTAACTAGGGATGACATCATCGGACATTTCCTCTGAACTACCGAGAACGTATTTAAAAGGAATAGTCCCCGATCTCCCGGCCTCATTCAGAGCTTTATAAGTTCAGTGTTTGCTGTTGCTTTCTGAAGTGTGTGTTAATTTCTGAACTGATATATATACCAAAGAGGAAGGTTAATGTGCTGTGAGCCAAAATCCATTGTGTTACCCTTGAATTGGTAAGAGGTTATTCAGAAAGGGAAATGAGCGTGATGCCTTGGTCTCCCACCTCCTCTGCAAATGTTTGTAAGCCTTGCAGGCTATTTTTTTTTTTAAGAACTCCTTGTGTGATGGCTTGTTCTTAATTTTGGTAAAATGGTAAAATAAGATTTTTTTTTAATTTGGAGAAAGTCTGACGCTTTTAAGATTGCCCCTGTCATCAGTGTCTGTAAAGAATTTAGTTGACTCGAATCCATAGTAATTTCCAGTTACAAGGAAATCTTATTCTCCCCATTGTTCTTGTTATATAGGGGGATATGAATCAGGCATTCTCTTGCATATGCCCACCTCTTTAAACTTGAAGTTGAAAGTATGTTAATAGTTTACTGAAAACATCCTTTTCCTCATTTCAGTTATGCCTCGGAGTAGAAAGTAGTGAACATCTGATCACACTAAAATAGAAAAGAGAAATGTTCTTTTCTTTTGTATAAGAACATTTGAAGCAGTATGGTAAGACCTGGACTAGTTTGTGTAGGAATTGATCGCAGATACGATAGCTCTCCCAGCTCAGTTATGACACTTTTACTCTCACTTGGGTTTGAATAGGATAGGTTGCATCTAGGCAGAATAGAGGTGCAGGTGTAAGAGATTCGACCTGGGTGGAATTTGTTCCTCCGTGCAGAGTGGTGCCACCTCACTAACAGCATCTGGAAAGTGAGCACTTTCTACCGTGCCTGCCAAGATTTGGGCTCTCAGGGATTTGGCCTCAATTTAGAATAAAGAGCATTGGAATGTTAAACTTAAAATATGTGTTTTTTATTTATATCTAAACGTGGGCTTGCCACCTTTTTCCCCTGAACAAAAAGTACAGCCTTGTGTGACAAAGAGAAGCCCTACTATACTTGGTTGTGATTAATATAATAGTGTCTGTACAGATAAAGCTGGCATGTAAACCTCCCAGATCTAAAAATCTCTAATCCCTCTTAAAGTCTCATTGTGGTTTAGCTGGACAAGAGAGGACAGAGGTAGGAAAAGAATCTCTTTTCACTTCAAATTGAGGAAGAGGAAAATATGAAGTGAAGAAATAAAGAAATATTAGTAGTAAATACAAATGAAGATTCTTTTCATATTGCTTATAATTCATCTCTCATACCTTCCCCTTTACCGAAGTTGAGTAAAGAAGCAAATTTGCTCTTGAGGGTTTCTTGTATTGTCAATTCCATAAGAACCATATAATGGTCCACCATAGGTCGGTCATTCATACTGAGTAACTAGGGACATTTACCTGCATCAAACTAACAACCTTTTTTTTTTGACCCTGTGAACCAACTAGAGTAGTTTGACAATCCAACACATAACCCTTGACTGCCATATGTTTTTAAGGGTAAGAATTCATAGAGGTTATACAAATTAACAAATATTGCCTTTAACATATGTATTGCTTGGAAGAGAAGAGAGTGCCGCTTAGCAAGATTGAAAAGACTACTGAGGTTAATCCATAATCCTTGAAGATAGAGACCACGATCTTACTCATCTTTGTATCCCCAGGGCCTTATATCTATAAAGGCCTAGTAAATACATGTTTAAGAAATGCAGAAGTGAACTTTTATGATTATGAAACTATACACCTAGGATTTCATAGGTTTAGTCTTTTCCTTTATGCCAAAATGGTATACTAGGTCTCCTTTTCTTAAGTGAACAGGAAGAAAAATAGCAGTATTGTTATAACTCTTCATTATTTTCTGTGTGATTAACATCTTGGAGTATATGGAAATTGAGGGTTACATTAGGGTATAAAATATTAAGCATCGAAGTAAGGTGAAATATTTGAAGTAGAGTAGTATTTTTTTTTATCATATTAGGAGTAAGAATGGAAGTGGGCTTAATTTTAGATTTCATACTATAGCATGTTTTTAAAATCACATATTAAAACTATGTATTCTTATTTGATGTTGAATATTGGTTTTTCAGAAATTTATGTTATAACTTGGGTAGGCGTAATTCATCTTAAGAGTAGAGAACATTTTTGTGACTTAAGATAGTCACAGTCTTTATTTCCAGTACCTTCAGGGGGGATGGTTAAGTGAATAGTTAGGGAATTATTACATGGAATTCTGGATATAGTGCCAATATTTGATATTATGTAGCATCATTTCCCTAAGAGTTTTCACCTGCATCTTAACTGTCCATTCCATTGTGTGTTTATGACATAAAAAGAGTTCAGGAATTAAGTAATTACAGCTTTGTTTCTCTAATCAGACCATACCTCTAGCCATTAAACTGGTCTGCCTTCCACAGATAATTTATGTGCTGTAGATAGCAGTGTAGCAATATCTCTAATATGCCACTTATTGGGGAAAACCTGAAGAAATCGCTCTCTCTGGTCATACTTGGAATAAATATTTTAGAGCGGTTATCCTACATATCATTGCTTTTCAGTGAAATTACCAGATTGTTGTAAGCAAATGCTTACAATATTCATAAAAGAATAGAAGAACATAGTATCAGAACTCTGTATTTGTCACAGTTGGTTTCATCTCGGAAGCAGATAGGTAGAAGACCTACTTAGCTAGAGACTGTATAGATGTCTGCTTACCTAAACAGAGACAGTTATTTTACAAACATTCACTGAATTCAGCCTACTATGTACATATGTTCTTTGGGGGATTAAAAAGAAGAGTTTGCTTTTGTATCTACTAAGAACCAGAGTAAAGACCTTTGTACCTTTTGGCTGCTTGCTGCCATTTTCAAAAGGGGCACACTGTTCAGACAGGTAGGTACTTGCTGGAGCTGGACAGTTGTGAAGAACTCTTCTAGGCTGTGCCATTTCTGATGAGAGAAGATGTTTGATTGTAAAGGTGTCCCTGTCAGGGTCTGAAAAGGTGGCAAAGCAAGTTTGGCCCTAATGTCTCTTCCTTGATTTTAACAGTTTTTCTGGCAGATAGCAGCACCATCTGTGCTCAGATGAGCATGGGTTTTTAATTGACTGTTCATTCATTCAAAAATTAATATTTATTGAGCAACATGTTATGCGCAGTCACCATGCTAAGTGCTGCTCATACCAGTGCAGATGGTTTGTTCTTACAGAGTATTCCATACGGTATTTATGGTTGTGTTGTTACCTGCTCAGAAAGGTAGTGTCTAAAAAGGTCAATATCTCATGGAAAAGATGACTACAGTAAGTGTATGTGGAACACTACTGTGTTTAGAGGCCCACAGTTGGTTGGCTTAGAAGATAAGTGAGTGTCTGGATTATGAAACCTGAGTGGTTGTTGGAAAAACTCAGGAAGCTTTAAAAATTTTGGATTTCCCAGAGATTTTTATTAGTATATGATTACATAAAAGTATTAATTAGTTTCAGAGTCACTAGAATAATTAGTGATTTAAAACCTATTGTTATTTCTTCTGTAAAAAAAGACTCCTTTTGAAAGGTAAATTGCATTTTTAAAATACATACCCAGATTTTCATCTATAGAATTTACTTTAAGTATATACATAGGTGTTATGGATGGTTGGTGGGTAGCATCATATAGTTGCATTGTGATTGCAGTCTTATAAATTAAATATTTTTCCAGTTAGGGTCTCATTAAAAAGTAGATTTATAAAATGTTGATACATGTTGCCTTTGAGTACTGCTGCTTACCTCCACTCCATCCCACCTTGTAGGTAATAACTACTAGTAAAAATTGTATGATTCTATGAAATACCCTATTTTAATTTATAGGTTAATGCATCGAAAATGTTGAGTATGAAAATACTAGGATACTTTACCAATTAATTATGTTGATCAAAATTGGGAAGAGAAATAATTATGACAGTCAAATGGGTGTGTAAAAAGCTATGTATTTTTGTTATGTTTTTAAGCAAACTTGATGAGAAGTTTGGTAATATGCCCAAATCCTTGCTTTGACACGGCATTGGTCATTTCAGAGCAGACAAGCTGACACTTCAGCTGCTTTGCTGAGGTCTAACTTGGTGGAGAGTTTTGGGAAGTGAAGTGATAAATATGCAATATTTATGTAATGTAGGGTTCCATTATTAGAAACGTGACTGAGATTTTCTTCTTGTTTTGTTTTTAATTCGTAGGGAAAATGATGAATCAGTCAAAGAGGATAAATCTGAATTAAAAGAAAAATCTTCAGGAAATAAGAAGGCCAATAGATTTCATCCTTATTCAAAAGATAAGAATTTGGGCACTGGAGAAAAGAAGGGTCCAAATCGAAACAGAGTTTTCATTAGCAACATCCCATATGACATGAAATGGCAAGCTATTAAAGATCTGATGAGAGAAAAAGGTAACTATCCTCGATAAACCCACTGTTGGCTAATCTTCATATAGAAGGGGGAAGACCTAAGCAAACTTTTTTATTCCTCTGAGCCACACAGACTCAAAAAATTGATTTTTGTTTATTTCTTGACACATGAATTAATCTTTTCCTCTTCTCTCACGTGACACAATTTCATTACAAAGTCATATGGATAAATGAAGTCCCCCCCCCGCCATTTTAGTGGTATAGTAGTGAGCCAGCATATGCATGCCACCAAGAATTTTGTTAAAGTGATTGCTTTGTCTAGTTGAAGTTTTTATAGATTTTTAAAGGACTATTGCATTAGTTAAGCAATACATTTAGCGTGTTAAAGTATGACTAATAAGGTCTGATTATTTTTTTCCAAAAGCTGTTTTGTTATTATCTTGGTGGAGTCTGGAATCTGGCTGTGGAGTTCATTTTGTTTGCATTGTCATGAATGCCATGATGCTGTCTCTGCAGTTCTATATTAAAATTGCGTTACTGCTGTTGCAGTTTTGTTTTTAGAATAACCTGAAAACCTTCATTTTATATATATGGTTGGTTTTGGGGAAAAATAATTTTAATATTTGATCTTGTAAAAGTTAGCTTTGTTATCTCTTGAAAAATTGAGTTTCAACCAGTCCTGCAAACTATGTACTTGGCTTTGAGGCTGATCTCTTCTAATAAATAAAAAAACCCTTGCATTGGTGTATCTGTTGTAAGGTGACAACTATTTGATTGGTTTTATTCATTGACTTTATTTAGAAAGTGTGTGGCTTGCTGTGAAGCATGACTTGTAAATTTAGTTTACTGATGGCAAACATGATTGAAGACATTCAGGTAGAAAGTCACCTTAAAACAGCTGTTGTGTGTAGGCGACCAAAGTTATTTGAAAAGTGTTAATGTTGATGTTTTTAATATGATAGGCTAAGGGACCATTTGTATGTATATGTGCATTTGTTCACCAACTATATCATGCTGGCCAAAATATGATCTGTAGTATGAATTAGGTTAATATGGTTGTTAGCTCTTTTAGAGAATGTGGATGATGTACATTTCAGAAAATTAGTTAAATTTACATAGTTATTGATAGGAGGTATGTTGGTCTGGTTTTGATTGTTGGTGAATAATAGGTGCTTTTCTGTAGAGTTGTGCACAGGTGTGCAGTAAAGCAAGATATTGGTGTTTAAATGTATTGTTTCTTGGTATCTTCCTTTTGTATGTCTTATGTAGTTGGTGAGGTTACATACGTGGAGCTCTTTAAGGATGCGGAAGGAAAATCAAGGGTAAGTGCTGTGGGCAATAATCTGCTTGAGGTTTAAAAGTTCCTCAGCAGTTTACTTTTTGTATAATATTTGTACCAGTTTTTGGAAACTTAAGTTTCATTTTGTTTTACTTTATTATGCAAGATTTGAGGCTTTATACTAGCAAGTCTGACACTTATCCAAACCAAACAAGTTGCCTGGAAGGGATGGGTTTGTAAATGTTCATAAAGGGCATTCACTTTTCTAATGCTTTAAGGTAATGCTTCTTCTTAGCCAACAGATTCTAACATAGGATTTTCTTTTGTTGTGTTTTGATGTCTTCAAGGATATTTTAAAAGTCACTGCATTGATAATATTCCCTAAGAGTTTTCTGAGAAGCCCATAGCTTAAAGGTGTTAGTTCAGAATGTATGTTTGCAACTTCTATTGAAGAACTTAATTTGGTAGCCTGCAAGACTACATAAGAGGCAGTGCTCTGACCAATTGGTATGAATGACACTGATGATTAAATTGACATAGAAGGAATTGGTTGATCATAGGTTTTGACTTTTAGCAACAAGAAAGCAATATACTGAAGAATCCAATGGAAAGCTTTCAACAGTGTTCACTTATACTGCAAAAACCAGTTGGGTGCATGAGAAAAACCTTGTCATCACATTCAAATGGCACTTTGAACAGTAATAATGACAAATGATTATTTTAAAAATGATTCTGTAGGTGTATTTCTTTAGCATAGGTGATTATTTTATATACTTAAACTGGATGCTGTTAAATTGTGTGCAGCCAGTTTTCTCTAACAGTAGTTAATTAAACATGAGATTATTTCCTTTTGACCCTAATAAAATTGAAAGATATACATTAAAACAATTTGTACATAATTCATCTTTTGAAAATATTCATAACAGTGTAAGAATTGTTACATTGAAACCTTCACTTATTTCCTTGAGTTACTTTTGATTGAATTTGTGCAAATCCCTTACTTAGTCTTAACTTAAAGAAGAGTCCTCTAAAAGTAAAGATGTGCTCCAACCTTGTTAAATGCTAGATTCTACTGCCTTAAATAGATAGAAGATTTGTGGTCACTTGCTATTATGTTCTGGAAGTGTAAAAGATAAAAACGGATTGTATTATACAGAGTTTACCATTAACTTCGTCTACTGATCTAAAACTTTTTTTCTTTTGCATATATTGACAAATCTACCTGGATATAGGGTTGTGGGTAAGAATTTTTTTTTAAGTATCTTCAGTCAAATTTAAACTTCTGATTGAGAAAAAGAAAATTTAGTATATAAACATTTTTTATAACTTTTTCCCCATTAAGTGTCGTTGAATTCAAAGATGAGGAATTTGTAAAGAAAGCACTAGAAACTATGAACAAATATGATCTTAGTGGAAGACCCCTGAATATTAAAGAGGTAAGATTTCTTATATTTGGAATAATTTAAACTTTTGAACGTAAAGACATGTTTTCTTTGGGTTTTCATCTTTGGAGATGTATTTCTCTGACTATAACTTTTTATTTTTGAAGCCTAAATGCTTGTTAAAGCGTTATATAATTCATGATAGTTTTGCTTGTGCATGGTTTCCTATTTGCTTTAAAGCAGTTTTCCTATATATTTGATTTGTTCCAAGTTGTTAAAAGCAGAGGTGTATGATTTTTTAAAAAATTCAGATTTTTAACGTTGGCAAAGTTTATTATGTCAACTTTATTTGGGGTAGACATTTTCAGTTTTTAAATTGTGTTGTTTAATTTGAGAAATAGATATTCTTGTAGTTGATAGTAAAGGTTTCTTAGTAATGCAGATACCTTATGGATTTGAATAAAATTGATACTCACTTTTAATTAAAATCACCCTGAAACTATGTCAGATTAAAATATAAGAAAACTTATGAATCTATTAGTGAAATTTGTAACTGGAACTTGGAAAACCCGAAAGTGGAGATGTTCCCTTTGTATGGCATGGTAGTAGTATAAATACATTGACAAAAGAATAATCAGAAGATATTTAAAAGAACTAGTGAAATTGACCTTGGTAATGATTAGCTTGAATAGCAGTCATTTTCATGTCTTCCTTTAGTTCATCTTGTTCAGCTAATCTGAGTAGATTGATCACAGACCAGTTATGTATATATTCTTGCTAAAGTCTGTGTTGCAAATGATTGAGATGTACTTTAGGACTCTGAAGGGTCTCTGCCCGCAAGGTTGCAAGTCTTTGGTAGTAGAGCATTACTGTCAGTCAAAGTTTAATTTGGTATAGTAATGATCTGAGTCCCAACTCACTTTCTAGCTCTGTTGCTAGAAAGTTTCTAGGCAGGTTGCTTATTCTCTAAACCTTAGTAATTGTAATAGTACTACTGATAGTACTTACCTAATAGGGTTTTTATGAGGATTAATTGAGATAACATGGTAGAGAATTCAAGCTCCCACATCAGATAATCTGGGTGACACAGGGCAGATTTCTTACCTTTAATTACTTAGCAAACTACCTAACTTTAATTACTCAACAAATTACTTAACTTTAATTACGCTCTGTTTTTTTGTTTATTTATCACTAAAGTGAGAATAATATTAGAAGCTATCTGATAGTTTTTTAAGATCTCAGTTAATATATGTAAAATACTTAATAAATGTTAACTACTAACTATAATTGTGATGTTATTATATAAAGCACTTACACAGTGCTCAAAATATTATATAACTACATACTAAACAGTAGCTGTAATAATAGTTGCTTGTTGTTATTCCAGTCAAAGGTGGGAATGTTCCTGGTTGTTGGTCTCTTGATTCTGAGTATGAGGTTATACATATAATAGCTTAAAATTAAAGGCCATGCTACCAACAAATACAAGTATTCCACATCCCTTTTTTGGAGTCAGCTTCTGAATTCCTCTAATTCTATTTGAGCCTGGGGGGTTTGTCTGTCTGCCTGCCCCTCCTTCCTTCCTTCCTGCCTTCCTTCCTGCTTCCCTTCTCCTTTCCCTTCTCCCTCCCTCGCTCTTTGCCTCCTTCCTCCTTTCCATCCTTCCTTCCTTTCTTTCTTTTGCTTTTCACTGGGAACTAGAGAAAGTTTAAACTGTTGTAGTCTGTGCCAGCTATTTATGTGGTGCTTTTTACGCTAAAGACCAAGCCCGTGTTGTTTATGTTCTTTGTAAGTTTTAGCACTTGTGTATCCTCAGTAATATTTTAGAAACCCTAGAATAGAGTTATGTGATCCAAACTGATGTAGGATACTTCCATTTTTAACTTTTGGGAGGGGAGAAATAACCGAGTTTGGCCTAGCTAAATGTTGAAGTATTCTTTATTCAGTTAACTTTATGGATTAATATTACTAAAGGTCCTTTTCCTTGGAGTATCTGATTTACAAATGGGTAGCTGGCCTCAGTGCTAAACCTACTGGTAAGAGTCTTAAGAAAAAATATATTTCCAATATTCCTTACCAGATAACAGAATTGCATTTTTTCATTATATTAAATGGGATTAGGAGCAGTTGTAAACTTCTAGGTCCTCTAATAGCAATAGCAGGTAGTGACTGGCAGACTGTCATCCAAGAGGAAAAGAAGAATAAAAACCATGTTATATAGTGGCTACTTTGTTTTAGATAAATTGTATGTTATATATGTTTTATACATTTTTATGTATTTGTGTGTATATATTTATATATGTTAAAATATAAAAAGACAAATCAAAATATAGCGATATGATTAATATTAAGATGTTAAGGACAAACAACCTATCTCAGTAGTTTATGAAACACCTTTCCTACCCCTCCTTCTCTCCCCGTAGCTAACTACTATCATAAATTTTGCATTTGTGCCAAGGTTTTGAAGCTTTAGTTAGACCTGAAACATTTATTATTTACTAGGTTAAAAATTTTGCCGCATTTTTAAAAACACTTATTTCTTTATTTCTGTATTTCCCTTAATTTCTTCATGGTGAAGAAATACTTTGGAAGCTGGTATACGTTTATTCTTGTATTTACTTTTTCACCTTCTATTCTCCCAGCCTTCCTAGAGAATTTATTAAGGTCTCTTTTTATTAATATTCCCAGACCGAGAGCAGGAGTATAGAGTTGATGGTTACATTTATCATTGTCATTTGGTATCACAGATGATAGTCTATCGGTGTGTTTAGGTGTTTTTTGTTTGTTTATTTTTTTGCATTCCACCTAGTGAGATGAATGAGAAGTACAATTAAACTTGCTGTTTTGGTTTTGTTTAAAGGTAGAATATTTCTCTTATACAGTTAATAAACTTAATAAAAAGCAACTTTTATTATCGTTGTTCACTTGGACACTTAGCCTTTCTTTATCCCCCCACCTTCATCTCGGATCATAATCCATTGTCAGATCATCATCATTGTTGAGGAAGGAAAAAGGTCGGAAAATGAGTAATTGTATTTTGTTTAGGAATGAAACTTAAACATTATAATAGTTCTCCTTTACCCCAATATTCCTGGGTTTTATAACAGTCTGTTCCACTGTTAAAAAGCTTTAATTAGTGTGATTTGGCATTGCCTTGGGCATCCAGTGGTGAGAATTCACCATTACTGCATTTTAGCAAGAAAAGAGTCACAGTAAGTACAGTATTTTGTTCCTCTTTGAGTTATATATTTTTATGCGTATGCGTCATGTATTTGTACCCTAGTATAAGGGCAAAATTAAACTAATTTCAAGTTCTTAAGTGACTTTAGTGATTGGAAAACAGGTATTTAATTGACACCTCTGGAGACTGAAATCTTTTGTCTGTCCACAGGTTTTTATGGGACTGAATACTCTGGATAAGAAAAAAAGCTCACTCTTCAAGAGGGCCAATAATTTGAGCCAGTTGGGATAGCTACTGTAGAATTTGAAGTTGTTATTTTAATGATACAGATTTACCGATGTATCTAGTGGTATTTAACATTCAATGTGTGTTATAGGACCCTGATGGAGAAAATGCTCGTAGGGCATTGCAACGAACAGGAGGATCATTTCCAGGAGGACATGTACCCGATATGGGATCGGGGTTGATGAATTTACCACCTTCCATTCTCAATAATCCAAACATTCCTCCTGAGGTTATCAGTAATTTGCAGGCTGGTAGACTTGGTTCCACAATTTTTGTTGCTAATGTAAGTTTAAGCTTTAGTCTAAAATTTTGTCATTCAGATATTTAGTTCTAATCATGAGATTATTAAATTAGATGAACGGGTTGTAGGTTTAGAGGACATTTTGCTTATTTTTAACAAAAGTAAGCAAAATAGTAATTACTGGAAACTCAAACCCGGTTTAAAAAAAATATATATAAAAATATAAGGTTAAACTGTAAATATGAGTAGTATTCTTAAAAAGGAACTGTGGAATGTACAAATATCTTTGCAGTTCTTGAAAATGTTTACTTTCATTGTATGGGATTTTTGTTCATAGTGGTAAATGGATTTCTTTCTTTAGCTTTGATATTTGATATTTGTGAATGTGCACATTGTAGTTGGTTTGTCATTTGTTCTAAGGTTTTGAAAGTCAGTGATAGCAACAGTACTTTCCAAAATATGACTTTCTCTCAGTAAAAATAGATAAGCAAGTTTCAAATGTACAAAATAGGATTGAGCGGATAAGAGGCTGTTTTGGAAATTAAAAAAAAATAAGGATAAGTAAGAACATTGGATGTAGGTTAATTAATTTTAAACAACTTAAGATGTTTTTATTTGAATACTATTGATGTACCATCTAACAAGAAGTATAGTTCTTTATAGTTTTGAGTTGAGAAAAGATTTGTTTGTATTATTTATAAATGGGGAGAGGGGTTTATTAGGTATGTAACTGTATATAATTTTATGTTAAGCTTGACTTCAAAGTTGGTTGGAAGAAGCTAAAGGAGGTGTTCAGCATAGCTGGAACTGTAAAGCGGGCAGATATTAAAGAAGACAAAGATGGCAAGAGCAGAGGAATGGGCACAGTCACTTTTGAACAAGCAATTGAAGCAGTGCAAGCAATTTGTATCCTGATTTACACTTTAGCGATATTTAATATGGTTGAAGAAGCTGGATAATACCATTTTGTGGGGGTCGTGGAATTTAAAGTTGCCTGGCTTAGAAATGTGTATTAGGCTTTAGTCTCCAGCACATAAAACCTTTATTATGTCCAAGTACTAAAGTCACTCTTAAAACTTGAATTAGCCATATTACGTAAGCCTGGTACTTACTCTTTTCTGCTTTCTCTTCCTGCCACAACTAACTGTATGTATATCTGCCGTTAACAGTTAATGTAATCCATTGTACATTAATGCAGTTGCTTTAAATGAAGCCTTGTTACTTTTTCCCCCAGTGGTTGCCTTAAACGATTATATTTTATTTATAAAGTAAAACTATAAGGCAAAGAATTCAAGATTTTTCTTTGAGTATATGGAAGAGATTAAAACAAGTAAAATAGTAAAGATGTTGATTAAAGTAATAGAGGTAGTCTGACTCTAGGATTATTAAAATGTGTGTTCAAGTATAATCTTAATAGTCCTCTTAACTGGTTTTCCTTGACCGAACCAACAGCTATGTTCAATGGGCAGTTTTTGTTTGATAGACCTATGCATGTGAAAATGGTGAGTTCCTGCATATCACTTCAACCGTCCCACCTCTTCAAATCTTATATCTGCTCTCCTCTACATTACAGATCTGTTTGATTATGAATTAACCACACAATAAACTTTTTTTGCAATTAGGATGACAAGTCTGTCCCTCATGAAGACTACCGTTCACATGACAGTAAAACACCACAGTTACCGCGTAAGTGAAAGCTATTATTAGAAACAGTGCAGACTATATATTTTTTTCTGTTTTATTGTGTGCTAAGCAAAACTCTTTATTTTTGTACCTATATCCCAAGTTGCCCACAGTTTAGGGTTAGCTTGGTGTTATGGAGATAGTTTGTCATGATTGCCGAGGAAGACTGAGAAGATAAATATGTACCATGTTTTTTCTTTTTGGTAGATTTTCCTGATTATAAAAGCAATACATACTAAAAAAATTGGTAAATTGATATAGCGAAGGGAAAAAGAAGTCCTTTTAATTTTACCACATATAACCTCCATTGTAACATTTTTGTGTATTTTTTCTGGTCTTTATTTATATGTATATATTTTTTTTACATAGTTGAGTACTACTACATAAGTAATTTTGTATTTGTTTGTTTAACATTAATCAGCAGTATTCCATGTTGGAAAATTCTTTCCAAATATTTTTATTGGGTGTATAATAGCCCATTGTATGGATACTTCATAAGTATTTTACTGTAATGTTAGGTATACTTAATTTGTTTTAATTTTTTTTAATTGCCAGCAGGATAATTCATGTCTTATACAAATATTTGGTATGTTTTTGGTTCTTTCTTTCAAGTATATTTACAAGTTTTCAGGTGTGCATATTGATCAGTATTATCGAATTGTTTTCCAAATGATTATAAAACAGTGTAATGTATTTAATATCTTTGTCTCAATGTTCCATCTGCAAAATGAAGATGAGGATATTGCCTGTATCATGGAGTTGACATGAGTGTTGCAGGAGTTAATATATGTAAAGCACTTATAACGGTTCTGGAATAATGTAAGCACTCAAAAATACTAGCTGTTCCTACTATTTTACTCTACCTCCTCTGATTTTTACTAAGCTTTTTTAATCATAAAATATTTTATATATACAGACAAAAATATAATTACTCCTGTAGCTATCACAGCCCATATTTGTTATAATGATTTTTCTTTAAAATAAAATTTTACAGATAAGGTTGAAACTCCCCCTCTCTCCTGACCACCAGATACCATACCAAGAGGAAACAACTTATGAATATAGTGTTTACTGTTTAGGTTTAGTCATTTGGCTACACAGTTATACAAGCATAAACATTATATGAAATGGTTTTGCTGGATTTAAAATTTGGGGTGAGTGACATCATATTGTATATATTATTCTGCAACTTGCTGTTTTTGGTTTAATATTGTTTTTATATTGTTTTAAATATCAGTATTTCTATTGATAGATGTAGCTCTAATTCTTTCATTAAAAAAATCTTTTTTTGAGTGAGAGTGGAGGAGGGGCAGAGAAAGAGGGACAGAATCTTAAGCAGTCTCTAGGCTCAGCACTGAGCCCCCCACGCAGGGGTCTCAGGCTCACGACCTTGAGATTGTGACCTGAGCTGAAATCAAGAGTTGGATGCTTAACCACCTTGAGCCCTCCAGGCACCCCAGTAATTTCTGTTTTTCTAAGATTTTTACCATTTTTGTTCATTTTCAGATTTATTGGCATAAACTAGTCTCTTAAGTTTCTGTTACATCTATAGTTTTTTCTTCTGATAAATTCTGAAGGTTTGTAATTTCTCTTTTTCTTGGTCAGTTTTGCTTCGAGATTTTCAGTTTTATTTGTGCTTTTAATTTCATTCTTTATATCTTAATTTATGCTCCTTAATACTTTCTTCTCTCTATGTTTAGGGGTTTGGTCTCTTATTTTTGTCCAAATTCCTTAAGTTGAAGGTTTACTTCACTAATTTTACATCCTCTCTTTCCTAATAAAAGTAGTTAAAACTGTATATTTAACTGTTGTACACAGGTTTTGCTATGGAGTATTTTTGTTGTGATTTAGTTTTTATTAAATTATTACTATGACTTCTTAAGCCATGCATTTTTGAATTTCTAAACATATGGGGCATTTTCTTATTGTTAACTTATTGTGGCCAGAGAAGATATGATTGTGATTTTTTTAATAATTTGGACTTTGCATTATGGTCTAAGGCACTTTGTTATACATATTCTAGGTGTGCTTGGTGAGTGCAGTGTTCTATATATGTCCATTAAATCAGGCTTGTTAATCCATTTACATTGTCTTACATCACTACTAATCATCATGTCGGCTTGGGCTGTCAGTTACTGAGAGATGTATGTGGTATAATTTCCCACTAGAATGTTGGATTTTTCTTTTCTTTCTTTTTTTTTTTTTGTTTTTACTTTAAATATTTTGACACTAAGTAGGTACATCTAAGTTTAGAACTGATACATTTTCCAAATGAATCAAAATTTTATCACTATAAAATGATTTTATCTTTAGTTACTAAGTCTTGTCTAATACTGATACAGTTAATAACAGCTTTGTTCACATTTATTTATTTATTTGGGTTAATCCCCATTATTTTATGTTCTAGTTTTGTGCTTTTTACAGATATTTTCTCCTATCTTGCTTTCTCATTTAGTGGTTAGCCAGGATTTTTAATATATCTGTAAAGTCTGATGTTAATATAATTATTCTTTTACTCAGTAATATAGTGACCTTTGAATGCTTTAATTCTAATCACTTTTTCTAGTGAATTATATGCTGTTATTGCTCATTGTCTTAGTTCTGTATTGGTTTTTTCATGCCCACAAATTAGGCATTACTGCTACTTACCATTTTTTTGTCTTACCTTTCTCTACTCTCACAGATCCTGGTGCTAATTTTTTCTCGAAGCATATATTTTTAAACTCTTTCATTGAGGAGCTGTTGTTAGTAAATTGTCTCAATTTTGGATAGTCTGTTAATGTCTTAAGAGGTAGCTTTACTGGTTATACAGTTTAAGATTGATAGTTGTTTTCTATCAGCGCTTTGAAAATATCCTACAGCCTTCTGGGTTCCATTGTTGCTATTTCGGCTACCAGTTAAAATGGCCTTTCATTATAGGTTAGCTGTGTTCTTCATGTAGCTGATTTTAAGGTGTTTGTCTTTGGTATGCAGTTTTCTGAATTACTTTTTATTGGGCTTACACAATCTAAGAATTCTTTTTTTTTTTTCTTAAGCAAATTCTGGAAAATTCTCAGTTGATGTGTCTTTGACTATTGCCCTTTCTTTCTTTATAGGGCAGCCTTTTCTTGTCTCAGCCAAGTTTACCTTATCACTTAGGGTGTCATCTTTCAAGATTGTCCTGGCTTCCTGCAGGGGCTTCCATTTTACTTTTCCACTAATAATACTCTTCTGTTTATTTAGGATAAAAAATATTCTTCATTGTATTCAGACATCTATATCTGTTCTTTTCGAGATTTATGTTTTTAGATATTATTCTCGATTGAGATATAATATGCACTCATAAACTTCGGCAGAATCAGTTTGTTGTTCTAGTTAATCATTATTAATGTCCCAGTTTTCCCTTCCCCTTTCTTTTATTCAAATTATTGTAACTTGTCAAATGGGAGCCTCCTTACTTCCTATGATGCTGATCCTCTTTTTTTTTTTTTTTTTATGTTTTATTTCTTTCTGAGAGAGAGAGAGAGACAGCATGAACAGGGAGGGTCAGAGAGAGAGGGAACTACAGAATCTGAAACAGGCTCCAGGCTCTGAGCTGGCAGTCAGCACCAAGCCCGAGGCGGGGCTCGAACCCATTAACCTTGAGATCATGACCTGAGCTGAAGTTGGATGCTTAACCGACTGAGCCATCCAGCACCCCACTGATACTCTTGATTTTGGTGAAAACATGATTTCCCAGATCTGTGAAGATTTTTTTTTTTTGTCTGAGACAATGGGATGGGGCCACTTCTTTTAGTGAAGAATGATATCAGGAGATGAGAATACAAGTCCTCGGTGCAGACGTGAGCCTTGTTGGTAGGCCTGCTATTGCTTTCAGTTAGACCGTTTTTAGGTACTGAGCTGAAAACCAGTATTTCTTTTACCAGATGACATTGATCTTTTCATTTTAACACAACATGCTTCTGTACTTTATCTAAAACAATACACACACACACACACACACACACACACACACACACTCTATATAGTATATGGTTTTCTCAGCTCCTACCACTTAATTGCTATGTTGACTACCAAGAACTTTAAAACCATACTCAGATTTGATAGAGTAAAATAGTTCCCAGTCACCTGTTAAGTCCTTAAGGTTATCAAATTAACCTCTTAAAGTCTATTTTCAACAAATTTAATTAGTTTATTTTAAGAGAGGTAGTAAAAGGAATACTGGATTTAGAGACTGAAAACTTAAATTGTAGTCCTAACTTAATCACATAGCTAAATGGCATTATATAAGTAACTTAAGCTTTCAGAAATTTCCTCCTCTGTGGAAAATAGATGTGAAAACACTTAACGTGCCATATAAATGTAAATAAATATGTCGTGAACAAAGCCAGGTAATGTAACATTTGTTTTATTCAACATTTTGTTTTCATTGTTGTTCTTGGCTTTTTAGTTTGATTTGAAATATCTTAAATGGAATTCTCCTATTTTAAGTAATTTTATGAATTTGAGCAAGATCCTCATTTTCAGATATATATACCATTCATAAGGAATATAATATTATTCAGAGTCCTCTTGGTATTTCATAAGAAGTTCTTTTTAGTATTCCATGAAACTGGGATAGAAGGTGGGCCTGCTTCATAAAATACTTCTCATTAATAGATGGTATTAGTGAGGCTTCTTCACTGTGCTGTGTTCTGATGAAAACAAGAACCAGTGCTCTTACTTGCAAATTTGCAAAATTTTGGCAATATTACTACAGGCATGTAGCCTAAAACATTTATTTTGTGCCAGTTAGTTAATCATACATGGATTGGTAATGTCATTCTTATTTGTGTTTTAGGCGGTCTTGGAGGCATTGGGATGGGACTTGGGCCAGGTGGGCAGCCTATTAGTGCCAGCCAGTTGAACATAGGTGGTGTAATGGGAAATTTAGGCCCAAGTGGTAAGTAGTAGCACTTCCTTGTTTCTTTTTAAATGATACGTTGCTACATTATAAAGCTTACATTTACTGGTTTATAATAATGTCTAAAGGATTCTATTTTCTAGTTGAATATGTAGGATGTCACTCAGTCTAAAAAAACGAATGAAACCTTGAGAGCAGAGAGCATGAAATAAAGTGAGCAAAGGTCAGGAGGGTTCCTCTGAGGCCAGCTGTGTTGTAGCTAGTCTTTTAGCACTTTGGATTTTAAAATGTCTTTGAGGCAGGAGGAGAATGTTTAATGTAGTGTCTCGTGTATCAAGGACATACAGTATTTGTGGAATGGCTGAAATGCTACACTGTCATAAGCAGGTTTGTATTTATCGCTGTGAAGGTAGCTTTTCAGAGAGCTGTTTGGCTCTTTACATGGATTAATTTACAGTTTATCTTTGAAGATTAGTTTTTAAACTTTGTGGTTTCAGAACTCTTTCATCCTCTTCACATTTGTTGACGATCCCAAAGTGCATTTGTTTACGTGGTTATGTTTGTTAATATTTATTGCGTTAGGAAGTAAAACTTAGAAATTTAAAAATATTTACAGATTATTTAAAATAACAGTAACCAGCTTGTATTAACATAAATATAATTTTTCGGAAAATAAGTTATATTTTCTGACACAAATATTAGTGAAAGGAGTGACATCGCTTTACCTTTTTGGAGAACTCTTGAACGTTTGGTTTAATGCAAGACAGCCATGCTGTTATATCTGCTTCTGCATTTTGTTTGTATGTTATGGTAGCATATGTCATGTAGTTTCTGGAAAATTGTACCTTATATTCATGAGAGAATAAGAGTAAGCAGTCAAATAATATCTTAATATTACTTGATAAACAAAATAGTTTTGACTTACTGGACCCCAGCCCATACTTTGAGAACTGTGTCTTAATTGAGTGAGTAGTAAATGCTGTCAGACTCCTGTTTTTTGCTGAGATGCTATAGCTAAACTTTAAAGTATCAGGGTAGCTACGGTAATCAGTCTGACCCAAACAGATAGAAACTTTTACTCTTGGGCCTTCCACCCTCCTAAACACAGACTTTCTTATTCTCTAGTTTTTTTATTGCTCCCTTAGCTGCCATGTTGAAAGGAGACTTTACTTTCTGACTTGATCTCTAAATCTGCTGTGGTGATACTTGTGTTTGTGTGTGCATGTGTGTTGAAAAAAAGAAAACAAACAGGTACCTAGTCCTCGATATTCTCTGCTCGAATGTGAATTTTGTTTTCTTATTTAATAAATATTCATAGACACCTCTTTGAAGACTCGTGATTAGACAGCTGCTGTGCATAGATAGCACTTCCCCACGTGTGTACCCACTGCTTCTCTCGCATTCTGTCCTGCCTAGACCAGTGGTATCTTTTGCTGTATTGCGCTATGTCATTCTTTTGTCCTAAAAGTAAGATTGACTGAACGTACATACTGTGTATTTTATTTGAGGTATGGGAATGGATGGTCCAGGTTTTGGAGGAATGAATAGAATTGGAGGAGGTATGTATAAGCGTTTGTTTTTTTGTCTGTGCCCAGTACCATTTTTAGTACATTAGAAGCCGTGTTGAGAATTCTAAGGAAAAAAAAAAAGGCCAGTTTATTGTTGGCTCATACCTAAAGGCTGCTAGCAGAAATTGAGCCTGGTACATACTTAAGAGATATGGGAAATGATGTGTTAAGAAACCCCCGCACAAGGTAGGGTGGATATGAACTTACTGGTGAGACCTAACACTTACAAAAAGTACCTTTCAGCTAGATAGCTGACAGTCACATCTCAAAATTAATCTTTATTCCATAGGAATTGGGTTTGGTGGTCTGGAAGCCATGAATAGCATGGGCGGATTTGGAGGAGTTGGCCGGATGGGAGGTAGGTAAATGTAGGAATGGACACAGTGAATGTCTCCAGCGGGCGTATGGGGCGTAGCGGGTAGGGACAGGCCTGCCGAGACTGGGGCTATCATGGCATGTGAGGTAAGTTGGTAAATCACAGATTTCTGGTATTTGTGACTTTTGCTGTCTTTTTCAGTTCACTTCCATTATGTTCCTAAATGGATTACCATGTACTGATACACTTGAAAAAGGGTTAATTTGTTGCATAATCTTTTCAGAGCTGTACCGAGGTGCGATGACTAGTAGCATGGAGAGAGATTTTGGACGTGGTGATATTGGAATCAATCGAGGCTTTGGAGATTCCTTTGGTAGACTTGGTAGGGCTGGCTGCATATTTCTCCTTTTCCTTTTTGCAGATTATGTTTTTTAAAGTCTGTTTCCTTTTTTGTGAAAAATTGGAAATTGATAATGTTTCATGTAATGTATTACTTGATGAAAACCACTTTAGGAATTTTAATGTACTGGCTCTCTCTTTCAGTAAATTACATATTTGAACCCTATTTCTAGAAGACTTATACTTTTTGGTTACTGTACAGCTGAGAGCATAGTACCTTGGGAATTTTAAAATATGATTCTTCCGATTAATTAGTATCTTTCCATCCTTGTTTAGGCAGTGCAATGATTGCAGGAAGAATAGGAGCTTCTAACATGGGTCCAGTAGGATCTGGAATAAGTAGGTTTAAATTTTACTAGAATTTATTCAGTAATATTTGAGTGCTTGCAAAAGACTTTGCAAGAGTAGTTATTATAGTATAGTCATATTTTGTTCTTGTGTGTTCATGTGTTTTGTCATAATTTAGAGAAACTTTGAAAGTCATTGAGCTTTTTGATTGAGCTTTTTGATCACTGTTTGAAATTTCTAAACTAACTTTGAATTTTACTTCTTTGACATTTCTGAGCTAACAACAGAGTATGTGTTAACTGTCAGCTAATCCAAGAAGCTCCATTCCAATTGAGGAATCTGGGGATTTCCCTGATCACGTGTCAGGAGGAACTTTTGCTTTAGCACCAACTTTGTTTCCTTGCCTGTTGTCCACAACTGCTATTGGTGACTAGCTTATTTTATCTGTGAACATCTTGTGTCTTTTCGGTAGATGCAGGTGAATTGCCCCGGTTACAGCACCTCTAGAGACCTCCTGGGGTTGAAGGTTAAGTTTACAAGAGACGTTTATTTCCTCTCCTCTGAAACCTTTCCTGTGACGGAATCAAGCGTAGTTGTAGCAGTGGGGAATGCCACATTTCTTCCATCTGTTTCCGCTACCACATTTTAGGCCTTCTATTAAATCTTAAAACATGGCTTAGTTTTTGATCTCTGTTGCTTACTGAGCTATGTCTCTGTGAGCCCTCCAGTACTTTATTGACTTCCTTTAATTGATTGAAATCTCAAAACTAGGAAATATAGCCTACTTGAACTTTTCTAAGGGTAAACTTAGAAGTCCTGTCAGCTGAGGATATTTACTTCCATTGTTCTTTGCTTCTCATTCCTTTCCATCATGTTTTTTAGCCTTGGTCATTTTCCCAGTAATCATAACTTCCCTACTTTCCTTTTTCACCTCGTTGTTTATACTTCTGTTTCCCTAACTTCATATTTGTTATTCATAGAAAGCCATTGTGAGGGTGATGTTAATTTTTGAAATTTCTATGTATGGGGATATTAGGTACAAGAAAAAAGGATTACATTTTGAGGATGTATAGGATTGGAATAATAAAGGGGACTCCGTGCATAAGAATAAATTTGGTATGAGCTCTGGGTAAATTCTCAAGCTCTGGCTAGAGGGACGTGATTCCATGTTTTGTTGTCTCCTTAAGTTCTATAGAATATTGAGGTCAAAAGTTGTTTTTCTGTAGTTCTTGAAAATTGAATTGATATGAAAAGAGAAATTGCATGTGAAACAGCAGATACTGAGGTGAAAAAAATACTATGGTATGATGAGAGCAACAGCTAATGTGTTGGAGTTGTAATATGTCTTTTGTTGTAGCAGTTAGTACACAGGGCATTAAAAAATAAATATGACAAAAACTGTAACATTAATGGATAAAACAGGTAGATAATTTATATAATTCATATGCTATATTTTATGATTGGAATATAATTTTATAGCAGTACGTATGTGTGACGTATTTACATAGTGGCTAGAATTAATGGATTCAGTTAGCCATTAACATTCAACTAACTGAACATAGACCAAATTCTGTTTCTCGGAAGATTGTTACTTTGTGGGTGTGAAAATAATTTTATGCTTATACATTATCTACTTACATAAATGAATTAATTTTTCTCTCCCTTTCTTTCTCAAAAATGATTCTGTCCCTCCTCTTTCTTTTTCCTCTTCTTTCTCCTTTTTCTTCGTTTTGAAAACCAAAACACCGAAATTCCCCAATCCCCCCCTTTCCGTTCTTGAAATCCAGGTGGTGGCATGGGTGGCATGAACAGTGTGACTGGAGGAATGGGGATGGGCCTAGACCGGATGAGCTCCAGCTTTGATAGAATGGGACCAGGGATAGGAGCTATACTGGAAAGGAGCATCGATATGGATCGAGGATTTCTATCCGGTCCAATGGGAAGCGGAATGAGAGACAGAATAGGCTCCAAAGGCAACCAGATATTTGTCAGAAATGTAAGCAACTAAATGTAAAGGGTACTTAAAATTATTTTTTTCTTTGTATATCTGTTACTAATACCTTTTTTCATTCTAGCTGCCTTTTGACTTGACTTGGCAGAAACTAAAAGAGAAATTCAGTCAGTGTGGTAAGTATGCTGATGACTGCAGATACAATAATATTGATTACGGAGGAAAAATTGATTTTAAACCTTTAAGCTCTGTGTTTAGACTTTACCTGTCCAGATACCTGTTCCTGGATAGTATGACAGGTCTAATTCCGCTTGAGATAAATTATGCTGCCCTCCCTCTGACAAGGAGCTGTGCAAATTGCTTCTAAATAACAAGATTTAGAGTAGAGCCTGTCATTGTCTCCTGTGGATAAAGAGAGGGCTTGCTTTATTACCTGATTTTTAAAAGGTTAATATATTGCTTGCAATTCAGAAGATTTTTTGTGTGGAAAGTACTAATAAAGGGTATACACATTTCCTTGTTTGTAGTGCAGTGCAGTGCATTGTCAGCATGATCCCCATAATGCTGGTGTCCAAATGATGTGGAGTTAATCGATGAGACCCATTCTACACATTCTGTTTCCTGTGCAACACAGGAAACTTAGCTGATAGCATAGGGCCCACTGCCTGGAGTTCCTTAGACAGGTACATTCTGGTGGCCCTTCTAGCCCTTTTACAAACTGTTCTTGGCTGCGATGGGTACTGTACTGTGTGCAACCGTAATGTGTTCGTTAGGTCTGTAGAAGATTAGGCGGTTTTATTACTTGAGAAGGGGGCTTTTTGCATGATGATGAGAGAATTAGTGTGAGTGGAACAGCCTAACAGATTTCCTGCCAATGTTTGCCTGCTATTGCCTGGTATCCCAGAGACACTCTGATCACAATAGTAAGCTTATATGGGTGGCATGTAGTGATGAAGAGGGACTAAAAGTGGTACATTTAGTTCTTGAGAATTGATGGAACGTTAAGAGTATTTGGAATATATGTTTACTATTTTTGAGATCACAAAGGGGATAAGTTTAGTATTCCCCCACAGAAGTAGCCTCCGGCTACTATCATTAAGCGGTGGCGATCACTGGTGATGACTGTGATCACGTGGATGTCATCTGCTGTGTTCTTTGTACCCGACTCTGTTGTTTTACTCTGTTCACGGGTTTTCTTCCCTCTTAGATGGAGGGTCTTGATGCAGAAACTGCCGTTGTTTCATTCTAACATTTTTCATCACCTCGGTACATATAGGAAGAGTTTAGTAAATGTTTATGAGGGAGTTAAGTACTCTGAGCTGATCTTCATTCATTTGTTCAGTTACTTACTCAGTCGGTCAGTCTACAAATAGTGTGTTTTTGCAGTCAGCTTGTCATTAGAATCAGACATGTGAACAGTGAAAGATAGTACCCTTGCCCTCAAGGAACATGCGGTGTGAATCCATCAAAGATGGGTTTTTTTTTTTACTCCTTTTGTTATCTTTTTGTTTGTTTGTTTTCATGTATATTTTATTCAAATAAGAGAAACTTAATGTTTTTAATTGTAAAAATGTTGAAAATGAGGTAACTATGAAACAGGTACCACGAGGAGAAAACAGTTTTGCAGTGTTGGTAGTGTTTGCAGGAGTGAGTGCACCTACCTCCCAGCACGAGGCAGCAGTACCTGGCCGTGAATCCCACAGACTGCAGAGGGATGGCCGTATTAGGGCCTTAGCAGAGTACATCAGTGAGGAGCAGTGGCGGCAGGTATAGGTCATGTCTCTTGTAGTCCCAGTGAAAAAAATAAACATCTCCAAATGAGATAAATGGCATTCTTTTTCAAAGTAGAACTGACAAAAAAAGAACAAAGTGGAGGACACAATGACATTCATGAAAATGTCACATTCTCTCTCTCTCAAAAATAAATAATCATTTAAAAAATTTAAAAAATAGAATGTGAAAGTATTATTCTTTACTTCATTATTTTAGCTCTCCTCATGTCCTTTTTTTCATCTGGAGTATCATGAGTGTAATGATATTTTTCTTATCAGTTCTGCTGTAAAAGTTTGTGATTTTTAGATTTACATTAAATGAATGCCATATTTAAATAATTCCCCACCATCTTCCTCTTTTTAACCTTGAACTGCATTGATGGGAAAGAAAATAAGTTATGGTAATACAGAATTAGGTGTTGAGCTGTTGACAACTATGGAAATTATCTGGCTTGTATGAACTGAACCATCCACTTTTCTGCCACATCACTTTATTTTCAAATTTTAAGAGAGGTTTTTCTTTCTTAGTATGGGAAGTTTCTTTCTAACCTGTTCCAAGTCGGTAATGACTTCTTTCACAGTAAAAGGCAGTTTTGTTGTTGTTGTTTTTCACCCTTGAGCCCAAAGTGAGTAAGTATATCCTCTTGGTTGCTTCTTAGTAAGAGTCTAGTGGTACTCCATGCATCTTCCCCAGATCATATCTGTCGGTAAATGGCTCACCAGCAAAGCCGTCTCCTACTAAATGTCTATACAGATCTTCTGTGACTTACGATGGGGTTACATTTCAACAAACCCATCCCGAGTTGAAAATGCCGTAAGTTGAAAATGCATTTAATTACACTGAGCCTACTGACAGTTGTAGCCTCGTCCGGCCTACCTTCAGCATACTCAGAACACTTCTGTTAGCTTACAGTTGCGCAAAGTCATCTAACACAAAGCTTACCTTATAATAAGGTATTGAATATTTCATGTAATTGATTAAATACTATACTGAACGTGAAAAACAGTGGCTGTGTAGGTACAGAATGATGATGAACATATGGCCTGGCTTATTGGGAGTTGTGGTTCGTGGCTGCTGCCCAGTATCACGAGTATCACACCACATACCACTGGCCTGGGAAAAGATCAAAATTCAAAGTACAGTTTCTCCTGTGTATCACTTTTCCTCCATCATGATGTTGAAAATTCTAGGTAGAATCATTTTAAGCTGGGACCATCTGTAGTGGTTAACTGTCCTTGATGGGGCAAAAATACAAAGGCTAAGAAAATGTATTTTAGGTTATACTACCTTCAATACAACATTTCCTCTGACTTTGTAATTTAGGGGAGATTGTGTTCCCCAAACATAAAAAGATGAGGAATGAGTGTACTAAAATAGATCATTTCTTATCCTACCCTATGTAATTCCCCAGTGACATGCATTTTTAAGAAGGCTGAGTATAAATAAATTAACTGTCCCATTGAGAGTTAGACCCCACGTTAGTTGAGGTTAGTTGAGGTTTGTGCTAATAGGGTCAAATAGGCATAGTCTTTCAAACTTGCCTCCATATTTATGATACACTTTAGCTGTACTCTGCCCTGGCTTGGTATGTGGCAGGATCATAAGATTTTAGAACTGCAGTGCAAGGAAAGCCTGTTGAATTATTCCTGCCATAAACCATGTAGACAAATACAACTTTGATTCACAGATTTCCATTATGTAGTTTTCTGGATCAGTATGCTTGTTAACTGGCTAGAAAATAGAGACTTGGGGTAGATTTTATTTACTAAAGCACGTGCTGCTTCAAGCATGACCAGTGGACTTTAACTCTGAAATAATTTAATAGTAAAAAATAATACAGTAACAGTAAAAATAAAATACAAAGAGCATTCATTGGTAGAGTCCTTTTCTTTTGTTTGTGAAGAAACACTAAAACTTCGGGCTTTGTCCCTTATATCATACTTATAGCTTCTTATGGAATATCTAATTTTGCTTTTTTCTTTTGTGGTTATGTTACAGTTTTATTTTGGTAGTAGAGTTTATTGAACCATTTATTTTGCTTTAATTTTGTCTATTTTTAGATAATGCTTTTATGTCAGCCTTTCCCTAAGCATACCCACAGATTGTTAATAGGCTGGATTAAATAAAGTGAAAAGTTTTCTTTCACTGCAGGATAAGTCATTTTTTAACTGATATATGTAACAGCAGTATGTTTGATTATTCTGTCATACTGATTTCTCATTGTATATACTATTTTGTCCTATACTATTATTAAAATAGGAGTTCTATTTTTGCTTTTCTTAGAATCATACAAGATCAGTAGATATTATGTCATTTAAAAAGGTCTTCAGAGCATGTAAATATAGCCAAGGGGGTCTGATTTTAATTATTTGAAACTAAATTATTTTTCTCCTCAATTATTTATCTTTAGAAAAGTAAATTATCTCAATTGGTGTTTTTATGGGATTAGAAAACATACCACTCTCTCTGGTTCTATGCCTAGTGGGATTTTTGGACAGTCGTACTATGAAACAGGTATCTATAAGCCACTTTCTATAGCCTGAGTGTCCAAACTGTAAGAGTATTGAAGCATTTTGGTGGAGAGAGCTTGTCAGATTCAAGAGCTGTGAGTCATGGTGGGGTCAGGAACTTGGGGGTGTGACAGTTGATTCCTAAACTGAGAGAGACAATTTAAGAGAGAAAAAAAAAGAGAGAGAGAAGCTTGTCCTGAAAGTTTGAGACAGATTTTGCATGAGATAGGCCTATTTTCCTTTGAAGTTTAGAAGATTTCTTACTTGATTGATCCTTACTATTGCTAATAAACCTGTTGTTAAGAAAAGCCCTAAGTTTTTATAAAAGGTAAAAGTAGAATAAGGAAGAACCTCTAACTTTAAAAGCCCTTGAAAATTCTCCACAAAAAATCCATCGAAATCACTGTATGGTGCTGCCGTTGACCAAGGTATGCTTTAATTAAACTTGCTTTTTTTAGGTCCCAGCATTCGAGATATTAAGAGGACTCTGGAAATTGCTCTGCATCCTTCTTTAAAGTTTTTTAAAGTTTCATTTTATGTTGCTTCTTAGAAAATGTGATTTCTGTGTTTTTTGTTTTGTTTTAACGAATTGTAGGTTGGTTATATATTGTTTGAATCTACTTTAACCATGGTAATATAACTTTTTCTGGTGATTAGTCTGTTTTATAACTTTTAGAACACAGTTAAAGCCTCCCTGGCCTGGGTTACAAGATCATGGTTTTGGCTCATTCTGACTTTTATTAACTTGGACCATTTAATTAGGGTGAGCAGTTGACTACTTGGTTTATAAAAAAATGCAATAATGGTGGGTTTGGGGAACTGGTTGGAAAAACAAAAGTAGAAAAGTCATCTAGGATGTTGTAAATAGATAATAAAACATTCAAATCCAGATTTAAATAGAAAAAGATTTTCTACTCCTGCATCAAGGTTAAAATAGATCCTCTCACCTGGAAAAGGGCTTATGTGATTTTTTTTTTTAAAATAAGGCCCTTGCTTTTATTGTCTCCCTCTCCATTTTTGTCCCTTTATAGAACTAAATATGTTTGGCTTTCTAAGTATGTTGCCAGACTAAAATTAGCCTGTAGTGATTTGGCAACTATATAAGATTCAAGGAAAGAAGGTATGATAAGTGGGCACACAACTCCCCTAGACCCGTGTGGACCTGGTGATAATAGATCCCAGTTTGCCTGGAGATAGTCTCCCTTTCATCTGTTATTTGTGTGTAATTACTAATCACTCTCCATTTCACTCTGGAAAGTGTTCTGATGTGGGTGGTAGATATTTATGGACATTTTGTAATTTGATAAATGATACTGATTTACTTTAAATACCAGTCTCTAGAGTCAAGAGTGATATTAACAATTGTCTGGTTTTCTTCCTCCTCTCGAAGCCTCTCTGAGGTTCTTCTTTGTGTCCTTACCATCACTGTTGTTACTTTCATTGATTTAAGTCGATGATATCTCTTCCATGCCTAGTTCCGTAACCTATTTGGTACTTTTACACCGAAGTTCAAATTGTGGTATTGAATAAATAAATGGCACTGTGGTTATTAATAAGCAGAATTAGTGGGGCCTTTTGTGGCCTGGTAAAAATTAAAATTCTAAGTAGTCGCTAGTATTTGCAGTGATGAAGGAATGAACAGGAGGGTAAAAGGGAAAGAAGCGAATTAGGGAGATTGGGCAGAAAGTGAAAAAACTATTTTTTTCCTAAAAGTAATTTTATTTAAATTTGTAAGTTTGTTATTGTGCATGGTGACTTGCTGGTATTTTGTCCTGTTTGCCTTACTGCTATAAACTTACTTCAGAAACTAAGAATTTACATAAAAAATATTTTTATGTTCTACTTTAGTAAAATATCAAATCTTAAGCAAATTTATTTTGATTCCTATTTTGTACACTTCAATATATTTATATTCAGAAGATAAAATGATGAAAATAATGTTTATATGATGTTATTTTTAAATCGTTAATGTTTTTAGCCAGCTATGTATCATTTCATTGGCTGTGAGGAATGTCAGACCTGTGTGGTGAAATGAAATCCATTTAAACTGACTAGTAATTCTATAATTTTTCTTTTACAGGTCATGTAATGTTTGCAGAAATAAAAATGGAGAATGGAAAGTCAAAAGGCTGTGGAACGGTCAGATTTGACTCCCCAGAATCAGCTGAAAAAGCGTGCAGAATAATGAATGGCATAAAAATCAGTGGCAGAGAAATCGATGTTCGCTTGGATCGTAATGCATAATTTTAGACCACGGTTGGAACATTCTTACATCTGTTTTGCTGAATCTCCTAGAAAAAGTCATTTTTTTTAGTAATACTGTATGCTTACAAAAGCTGTAAAAATGAACTTTTAAAACTCCCACCAGCTTTTAACAGTATAGTGTTGAATATACTGTGATTTTTGTTAATCTCAAGTTTGGGTTTTTAAAGACAGCAAGTCGGTCATTCAGTTTAAATGAATGGTTATACTGTTTTTAATGAAATAAGCCATTTTCTTGTTGTTACTTTCAGTACTACATAGTGGGATTTGTTCAGGTTTCCTCAACTTTTATCAACTTGTTGTAAGGTAAAACATAGATGATTTTTTTCAAAACTTCCGTTTTATATTTGTGATTGTCCTTGAAAAGAAAGGGCTCAGACAAATTAGGATGCGATTTTTGGTTGGTTTTAAATTACTTTTCTTTGGTGATAAAGAATTATTGTAAGTAAGTTTTAGATTCTAAAGTTCAGGACATTTTTTATTTGACTTCAATGAGGAAATGGAGTTTTTTTTCTCTTCCTTCTCCCATCATCCATGTTTTCCACATAACACTATTAATATCAACCTCCACAGCCCCTTATTTTATTATTTCCAATGATTCCAAGTTCATGTAGAACTGATAATGTGGCAGTCCCCAAGTATAATAACAGGCAGACTACTCCCAGCTTTCTGTCTAGTTTCCAGCCATTGAAGTGAACTGCTAAAAAAAGGAAAATAATAGAAATGTTGAGAGAGATGGTTATGTAAGTCAGTCCTCTGCTGTTCACTTCCACAGGAGCTGATGTGTTTATAAATGCAGTTTTAATAAACCATGGAACACCTAGGCACAGCATATCAAACACATTGGATCCCACGATGTTAGACATAGCCATATCTCCTTTGCCTGCAAAAAAAAAAAAAAAAAAAAAAGCATGTTGTTAAAATGTGCACACCAATACTGTATTTTTATTAATAAGCTTCATAAAAAAACACTGGAATTTTTTTTGTTTGTTGGTTTTGGAAAATTGTTATATTAGAACAGAAGTCTTACTGAATTTGTATTTTTTAATTTGGGGGGGGTTAGTATTTAAAGTCTTAACATTTATTTAATAATAATTATCTTTATTTATTAAACCATTTTTCAATAAGGTCTGTAGATTACTTGTTGCTTTTCATTCTAATTTAATATGGTTAATTACGACTGAATGCACATTTCAGATGAGTATTATTTGGGGGTTTAGATTTAGTGAAATGAATCTGCTATTAAATAGTAAATCCTTTCTTTTGAGTCACTTTTTTTTTTTTTTCTTCAAAGTATGCTGAGGAGATAAATATTTATCAAGGTACTTTTGCTCTTAGTCTATCTCAGCCAGGCTTGAAGCATGGGCGCTGCAGCCCAAGGGACCTAGCTCTTACCTTTTCTTGCAACCAGCACGCTGGCAATCGTGTCTGGCAGGCTTGTTCCTGCCGCTAATAGAGTAAGGCCCATTACTGTGTCTGGGATTTCTAATGTTTCCCCTGTAATAAACATAGATACTACAAGTTACAAATCTTATAGATTGAGTAACCATTCTCTGCAGTTATTTCAGATACTTACTTTCTGAACAAAACGAAAATAGGCACATTTAGGTTTCACAACCAATATGTACTTAGATTTTAGCTAACAAAATATTTGAATAAGATTGGTAAATTGGGTAATACAGATAGCACAGATTTTTAATGACATATCTAAAGATATTTAATAGACAAAATTCTACTAAGGAATAATTCCCCTACCTGGTATGCCTACAGAAGGTTTGGATGTTCACTATTATCTCATCAAGGCTGTTGCATAATACATGCTAATAATAAGATTGATTATTTCCTCTTTTTCAAAGCATTTTCTTAAAGTGGTCAGAATTAAGCAAATTGTTTATAGCTGTTTTTAACCTGTAAATGCGTTAACCTGGTACACATTTTTAAGTCCTACTTTGGTGATAGACCTTAAACAAAGGAAAACAAAACTAAGGTTCTCCTTGAGTCTTCCTAACATTATGGTCCCGGTTTATTAATCCTTCTGTTGCATTTGGTGTCAGTTCAGCATTTTTCCGAAATGTATTCAGAAACAGAATCAGAGGGAAGTTAAATGAAAATACATGTAATTGCTCTTTTAATGTTCCAATTGAATACTTTAGAATCTTTTTCTTAAAATGTCAAAAGTACTTTAAGTAGCTGTTTATTGCATGCTTTCTATATTGATATTGGAATTGTATTTGGTTGTTAATTTTTGTTACTGGTTTTCCAGAGTTCATATGTACATAAATAACACTAATATTTATCATCTTGGGGGCTGTTCTATGATCTATTACTTGATTTTCCTGATTACTATTGTCAAATATATTCTGGCTGAGAAAATTTGGAGAGATTTAATATGCAAGCTATTTGGACTTTTTCATCCTTCTCATTAAAAAAAAAAGAAAAAAATACTCTGCTTTTTGCTAGCATGCTATTCTAAGTCATTTATTAATTTTGGAGAAGTCATTGATCAGCAAGTTTTTTTTGTGAAGGGCCATGTAGGAATTATTTCAGGCAGTGTAGGCTATGTGGTTTCTGTTGCAAATGTTCACTCCTGCCATCACAGTGCAAGAGCATCCACAGATAATATAGAGACGATTGGGTGTGGCTACGTTCAGTAAAACTTGATGAGCCAAAACAGAGGAGTCCTGGCAGTTTGGGCACACAGACCGTAGTTTGCTCGCTCTGGTATATCCATTTGGGTTAACTTTTTTGGGAGAAACTCTTGATTTTTTTCTATCTTTATATTCAGTTTTTCTTTTGGAGTTCTATGGAACTAGAGCTGATTATGGCTAGGCAGTAATATTTAAATTCTAATCATGAAGGTAGTAGAAACTTAAATTGAAATTTTACTTTATATACTTTTTACTCATTTTATAGTTGGTTTGTATTGCCATATTAAAAAGCAAAATGAAATATAATCCAGTTAAACAGCGAGCACACACTGTTCTCTCAAAATACTGTCCCTTTGCTATATTTTTCATTGTGGAATGGAATTCAATAGATAGAGTATATTGTGGGCCCCATACAATGTGATTTAAGTATTAGCATAATAGAAGGGCATCCTCTGTACCTGATTTCATTTATAAGAAGATCCTTTGACCTGTAACTCTAGGCTGTATAATATTTGAGAATATAGTTTTGATACGTAACATACAACTTACCCCTGAATGATCTTGCTGGTAGAGTAATTTTTAATCTTTCTGTAAACAGCAGGTATCTTTAGTCTTTGTGTAAAGAGACATTCCTCCTTAGTTAGACTGCATTTAGTGAATATATGCAGTTCTTCTCTGAAACTGATTATTTTTAAGTTGTGCTCTTGCACTATTGATACATACCAGTTATTGTGACCATCCAAACCAGGATATATGTAAATGCAGATATCCATAGTGCCGACATGAAAAAGGTTATAATAAAATAATTTTTCCAGAACTTTCTTCTACAATCTGGTGTGGTTAGAAAAAGTAAGGTAATGATAGGAAGGGATAGTACCCAAAAAATTCTTTTTAAGTCTGCTTCAGGCATGTTGAAAACACTTGGTGGATCTGTTGAAGAAAAAAATAAATGATTTTGAGTTTTCTCAAATGGCCAATTAAGTTGGAAATGTCCATTTAGAAAGCTATATTGAAATAAATTAGCTGTATCAGTTTCTAAGAGGCTATTTAAAACATTTGAATACCTCATTACTGATATTGCTGGCAAAAAGAAACTAATTTAGACTTTAGGGCAGACAGTATAAATGTGATACTCAGCGTTTCTTGATTTGGGACCTTAAATCCATCAAAATATCTTGGATCATTCAAATGTATTTAGATATAATGTTTATGAAGTGTCAGTTGGACTTCTTTTGGTTTTCTACAATGGGAATAGTTTTTAGTAACTTTTTTTTTTTTTTTTTTTGCTTATGGGATTAACTTGCCTTCTACTGATTATAACTATCTACTTGTCTCTGTTCTCCAATATTGATGATGTCTCTAGCCTGCCCTGTGTATCAGGTAATACATACTTAAGGTGTATAAGTAATTATAGCATAATATTTATTAAGTTGAATATTCCATTCTAATTCTCATTGTGATTTTTGGGGGGCTTCAGTTTTTCTTTCTTAACATGTATTTGTGAAATTTGGAATTCACTATAATTCTTATGAAGAGCCTTTAAGAAATTATAAGAACAAGTATGGAATCTACAGTGTAACTTAAAAAACTTGCGTATGTTCCTTTATTTAATTTGTTAAGTTAGTGGAAGACAATAATATATTGGATAGAAATAAGAGTCCACTTGAAAATTATTTAAAATTTGCATGGCATTTACAAAATAATGTACAATTTTGTAATGTACCATAATAATGTAGCCATGTATTGCATCAAACTACATTACAACTAGTGCCAGTAAAATAACTCACGAAAAAAATTTGCAGAGCTTCAGCCAATGGACCATTAAATAATATTAGATATAATTTTAGTGTAATGAAAAAATTTGGAGTGGTTCCTTTGAATTTTTTGTTATAAAATTTAACTTAGCAATATGCCACTTGCACCTGAGAGGCTAGAAACTAATTTTTATAAGAAGGGAAATGTCATGTTGTAATTTTTGTAGGTAGTAAATTAGAATAGCTTCCTAAGATACTTAGGTAAACTTAGATTCAGTTTCATACAAGCACTTTGTAAAAAACTAATGCATAAATTTCTCTTTCTGGCCCTATGTGAATTTAACTTCTACTAAATGTATTTATCCCAGTGTTCTGCTCCTTCTTCACATGGCATGTTTCAAACAACTGTTTTTCCCCACACTAGTGCATTTTCCTAAATTCCAAGGTTTTATAAGTGGTGTTCGCACTTTCTCAGTCATGAACAAGGCTTCAGAACTTCCTCTGCTCCCTTTTCTGGCCCCGTACAGTTCTTCAGTTGTCTCATCTTGGATGCTTCCTTTGCATTGTCTCTTTCATTCCTACTCTGCTCTGTCCAGGCGTCTACCAAACACATCAGCTTTTTTAGTGGCTTCTTTCACGACTCCATTTCTTATATCCTCTCATTGCCTTGCTCACAAACCTGCAGAGACTTACATACTAGCATCCAAGACTCTCCTATTCTTTCCTATCTACCTTTTCTCTGCTTCCTTAATGTGTACATTTTGGGCTCCAGGTATGCTAGTTCTTGCCCAGGCCTTTTGCTCATACTAATTCCTTGGCATCAATTTCTCGAATATACCTTACTTTTACTTCTACGTTATTTACATAACAGACTTCTGTAGCCGTTATAAATCAGGTCATCAATCAGGTCATCCGTTAAAGTCTGATCTATTCTACCAGGCTCCGTTTAAATGCTGCCTTCTCTGTGATGATCTTTCCTAGCTTTTATGCAAATTGTATACAGTCTGTCCCACTTAGGAACTACAGCTGTACTTGATTTTCTCCTCTTTATAGTACTTAAACCTTCATCTTTTAGCTATTTTCTTTTTTCCCTACAGTATTGGAAGCTTCTTAAGGATAGTGACCACCTCTCTTCATCATGTCTGAATATCCACAGTGTCTTTTACACAAAAAGCATATAGTAATTGCTGAATCAAGATGAGACTCATGTTTTTCTAGTGAATAGGCTTAGTAGCGGGGATGATGTGCTTCTTACCTTCAGAAACCTGACTAAGATCATGCAAACTTAACGGAAGCTGAGAGTAGCCAGAATCATCATGAAATATCCCACTGTCAGTCCTTGATTGCCGATGGATGAGCGGTTGACCGTCGTCTTCCCATCCCATCAGTGATTCTTGCTCACTTCTGTCCGTAGTTTCAGCAAGACAAGTGCAGCAAGGGCTGAATTTCTTCATAATATATTGATTAATTTTAATGTCAAAACATAGCACCAAAACATACAATCCATATATCAAAAGCAGTAAAGTTCCTTCATACCTATAAATTAGAGAAATTTGTGTGTTTTAAAATGAAAAAGGTTTTGTAGAGCTAGTAGTTTGGGGGCAGTATCTGCTTAATAATTTTCCAACACAGCAACAAGCAAATAACATTTCTAGGTGTATATTGGTTTTATAGCTGTGTCCAAACTTGGTTACAGCATTATTAGAAGTTTATGCATAAAAACTTTGCATTCCTTTCTCTTACTTCAAATAAAACCAAGGATTATTAACTCATTGTCTTCATTTATAGATAACTTTATAAATTATACGCATAAACATGCTTTGAAAATAAAAATTGTAGATTTTCAAAGTAAAAGTTAAACTAGTGAGTAGTGATGGACATTCTCTACCTCAGTTCATTGGTAGCATACATTCCCCAAAATATGCAGTAATTATAAAAGAATACAGTTCATTTTAACTGTGTCTATTGAAATGTGGTATAAGAATTTTGTGTAAGCTATTCAGAATATATAAGCCTTTGGGGCTTTTCAGTTAACAGAGTTGTGTTGTTTTTTTTTTTTTTTTGATAGAACTAAATTTGGCTTATATTCACAAAATAAGGGTATTTTAAAAATAAAAATATACCATGGGCACTAAGAACTGTTGTCCTATACTCTGATCTCCTAAAGAGTTGTGATTAGGTAATACCATTACATTTGAACCTTTCATTTACATTTTGTTTTATAGCCAGTGAAGCTCTCCTGCACTGAAAGCACAGAGTTCTTGTTTTCCCTAATGGAGGAAGGAGCATAGATTTGGATACTCTTACAGTCATTGTCCCTTTAGAGACCACTAGTGAGTCCGAGAACCATCCCTACTATAGCCACGTCTTTCTTTGGGAGACAGACTAGATTTCAGGATGAGTCATTTAGAAATTTTGTTCCCTGCTAGATTTTAAGTTTCTTGTCTGCAGATCTTCTGCAGGATTGCTAAGTTGTAATACTCCAGAAAGGTGCCGTTTACATTGTTTTCTATTTTGCTGGTATCCTGTAGCATTAGGCAGTGCACAGTCTATGTGGCTATGCATTTTACGTTCCTCTCCATCTCTCGTGACTCCTAGCATAGTGACAAACACCTAATAGATACCTGGCTCTTGTTAGTGGAAGAGTTAGCTGTCCACTGAGTCACCCTCTTTTTCATTTTCTTGCAACAGCAAGACACATGGAGGTAACAAGGAAAGCAAACAATTGCTAATACCTAAATACCATTGATTCTTCGAGGAAGAAGGCTGTAGTCATTGCTAAGTGAACATCAGAGAAAAAAGTTGGAAGAATTTAAAGATTTTAAAATTTACTTCCTCCATCATTTCTCTCCGGTCTTGTGACTCTGGCCACTTCTAACCTAGGTAAAGTAAACAACCCAATAGAAGAAAAGACCAACTGCTGGGGCTTTAATGGACAACAGCAGAACCGGAACAGGCCGAGGGGTGAGGGAAGCGTGGTAATGTCCAGTGATTAGTGAGACAAGGAGACCGACGCGACTAAAGAGGTTTCAAAGAAGGGAAAATCCAACCAGCAACTGTGAGGAGGAAGTTAGGTCAGAGGCACGTGGGAAAATGGTGCCAAAGTGGCAGGTAACTGAGAAGTGACAGAAATAACATTTCTGAAAAAGAGACATCGCTAAACCATCAGAATTTCATAAAACCCTCTCTGATTTTGCTTTACATAAGAGTAATGATCGTTTCAAGCTTACCAGTAAACTTGGTTGTCGAATATTATGCCAAGGACTGCGGCTACACTAATTGCATATGCTGCACAGTCTCTGAATAAGGGCCAACATGATAGCGATGAGGCCTGTAAAATGATAATTTGCTGTTTCCATTATGCGGTAGCTTCGAGTACATGCTTAGCACAATACTAAAACCATATGTTTGTTGCTAAATACCGTAATCTTTTGCATTTTGCTTACAGAAGAAGGAATTTTAAGAAAAACTGTTTCAGAACCTTCTCTGGTTGTCATAAATTTGACCAGGAGCGATTTGCAGGTTAACTTTAAATGGAATCCATGTTTTTCTACTGATTAATAAATTGGGTTGAACACATGAATGCCTTGTTTGTTTTAGACTATAAACTGTTTTTGTCATGTGTCAAGACAGTAAATTTGTGGAGTAAAGGTGTTTCACATACCACGTTAGATAGTAGGCCACAAGCTGCACAGATGCCAAAGAGGTTATACAGTGCGGATCCGAGAATGGTGCTAATGCCAATGTCTCCCTTTGTGATAAATACACCTACGAACAAGGTAATTGCTACATTAGTGCTGCTAGACTTGGAGAAGATAAAATCACATCGAGGAAGCAAAAAAATATAAGGAGCGATATTTACCCAGGAAAGCAGTAACCAGCTCGGGAGCTGAACTGCCGGCTGCCATAAAAGTTGCACCTGCAACATCCTGAGACAGTCCAAGGGCTGAAGGCAAACGAAATTACGTTAAAGTGACGATGGGATGTCTCTGTAACTAAATATTCAAGTCTATAGCTTCACAGAAAAGCACTAACCGTGACTTAGACTGGAGAAATAAAACATGCAGGTTCAAAAATTAGAGGAATCCAGTGTCTTGCTCCCTCTATGCATTCATTAATGCTTCCGTAGAAGGGGAGAGGCAGCCAGGGACCATCGGAGCTATACTGCAACTCGGGGTTCTGGATGGCAAGGTGCGGGATTTGGGGATTTTGTGGGACCCAGAAAAGCCTTCCTTTCTGGCTGTGGGGCTTGTATGGCAACCGCCGGACTTCTCTCAAACGACACTGTCAGCAGTGCTTCCGTACGTTGACAAAGGGAATTGAGGTATTTCAGGCGTCATAATCCAATTTTAAAGAGGACAAAAAGTGGATATTGGTAGTTTTTAAGATCCGTAAGTGAAGCTGAATTAAGGAGCTTATTTACAAATTGGCTATGTCAACCATGTCAATACAAATGAGAGGAAATTAGGTCACTAAACACCAAATAAGATTTACTTTTGTATAATTAGAATCTATTGATTTAAAACCTACAACCATTGAAACTTTGGAGTAGGAAACACAAGAAAATACAAGGATTCAAGTAGTCTGTGTATATCCCCCAGACTTACAAGCACTTCCACTCTCTTCAGTGATTGATGGGATGAAGTCTTTAAAAAAATTTTTTTTAATGTTTTATTTCTGAGAGAGAGCGAGAGAGAGAGAGAGAGCAGGGGAGGGTCAGAGGGAGACACAGAATCTGAAGCAGGCTCCAGGCTCTGAGCTAGCTGTCAGCACAGAACCCGACATGGGGCTTGAACCCATGAACTGTGAGATCATGACCTAAGCCAAAGTCGGACGCTTAACCAACTGAGCCAATCAGGTGTGCCCCGATGGGATGAAGAGCCTTAAGACATTTTTGGCTCTTTCAATTTTAGAACTAAGGGCTCTACTATAGGAAGGAGAAGAGAAAGCCATGTTGAAAAGACCACCTTGTTTTTGGAAGGCTGAGACAAGGTTGCATCAGAAATCCCCAACCAGCCTTTACTGGTAGATTAATAAGTAGCCTATGGAAGTAGCATGCCTTTTTATTCTTGGTGGGGCAGAATATATCTTACAAAAATGGCTACAATATTTGTGTTCATGAGATTTTCCAGAACCTTTCCATTCCCTGCCTCTCAGCCCCCCAAAAGTGGAGCCTATGCTTATGTCTCCCCGTGTGACCGCTTTGACTAACAGAATATGGCAGAGCCATAGTATTTCTGAGGCTAAGACATAAAAGGTGAGAAACGTCCTCATGGTTCTCTCTCTAAGGACCTTTGCCTTAGAATCCTGAGCCACCAGACAAGCCTAACCACCGTGAAACTCCTATACGGGAGAGAGACCTCGTGAAGAGCCCATACAGAAATAGAGGTGCCTGAGGAACCCCTTCAGCCCCTCAAATTTTGAATTTCCCCATCCCAGGCACCAGGCATGAGGGAGCTTTCAGATAATTCTAGTCTTCTGACTATAACTGCATGAGACACCTCAAGCTGGAACTACCAGCTGAGCCCAGTAAACGCATCTGTGAGAGGTAATACCATGATTGTTGTTTTAAGCCACTGGTTTTGGGGTGATCTGTTAAGCAGCCATTGATAATTAGAACACCTGGCTATTCACTTATTTGTTGCACTTACTGAGCACCTACTATGCCAGATGCTTTTTTAAGTGCTAGGAATGTAGCAGAAAAAATAAAACAGATAAATGTTTCTGCTCTGGAACATTAATTCTGGGGAAAAGAAACAGACAAGATAAGCAAAATATGTGTTATGTTAGAAATAGCAAGGAGCGAAAGCAGGAAGTGGGGAGCATATAAAATGTCATGAAGAAAGGATTGTAATTTTAGATTGGGTAGCCAGAAAGGCCTTTGCAGAGAAGGTAAATTAACTAGAGGTTTTAAAGTGAGAGAGATAGACACATATATAGAGGCTGACTTCACTTTACTGTGCTCCACAGATATGTGTTTTCTACAAATTGAAGGTTTGTGGCAACCCTGTGTCAAGTGTATCAGTGCCTTTTTTTTCCAGCAGCATTTGCTAATGTTATGTGTCTATGTCACCTTCTGATAATTTTCTCAATATTTCGGACTTTTCCCTTAGTATATTTGTTATGCTGATCTGTGACCAATGAACTTGGATGTTACTATTGAAACTTTTTGGGGTTGCCATGAACTGCACTCCTCTAAGACAGAAAACTTAACTGATAAATACTGTATGTGTTCTGACTGCTCCTCAGCCTGGCTGTTCTCCTCGTTGTCTCCCTCTTCTCAGGCCTCCCTATTCCCTGAGACATAACAATATTGAAATCAGGGCAATAAATAACCAACCCCACAGTGGCCTCTATATGTTCAGCTGAAAAGAGTCACAAATCTTTCACTTTAAATCAAAAGCTGGAAATAATTCAGCTTAGTGAGGAAGACATGTAGACTGGCCCAAAGCTAGGCCTCTTGTGTCAAATAGCTAGCCAAGTTATGAATGCAAAGGAAAAGCTCTTGAAGGAAATTACAAGTGCTATTCCAGTGAACACAAAATAAGAAAGCAGAAACACCCTTATTGCTGATGTGGAGGAAATTTTAGTGGTCTGAATAGAAGATCCAACCAGCTATAGCGTTCCCTCCAGCAAAACCTCATCCAGAACAAGGTCTTGATTCTCTTTAAGTCCATGAAGGCTGAGAGGGGTGAGTGAGGAAGCTGCAGAAGAAAAGTTTGAAGCTAGGAGAGACTGGTTCATGTGGTTTAAGGAAAGAAGCCCTCTCCATGACATAAAAGTGCAAGGTGAGGCTTCAGGTTCTGTGTCTCCTCCTCTCTCTGTCCCTCCCCCCCTTCTCATGCTCTGTCTCTCTCTGTCTCAAAAATAAATAAAAAACATTTTTAAAAAAAGTGCAAGGTGAAGCAGCAAGTGCTGATGTAGAAGCTGCAGCAAGTTATCCGATGATCTAGCTGAGATCATTAATGAAAATGGCGAAACCATAGATTTTTGAGTTAGACAAAACAGTGTTGTATAGGGAAATAGATGCCATCTTGGACTTTCATAAGTAGAGAGGACAAGTCAATGTCTTGCTTCAAGGTTTCAAAGGACAGGCTTTTGTTAGGAACTCATGCAGCTGGTGACTTCAACTTGAAGTCAATGCTCATTGGCCAGTCTGAAAATCCAAGGCCTTAAGAATTATGCTAACTCTATTCTGCCTGTGCTCTATTAATGGAACAACAAAGCCCAGATGACAGTATATTTATTTACAACATGGTTTAATAAATATCCTAAGACCACTGTTAAGACTTGCTGCTCAGAAAAAAAGATTCCTTTCAAAATATTTGACAATGCCCTGGTCACCCAAGAACTCTGTTAGAAATGCACAATTAGATTAATGCTGTTTTTATGCTCACACAACATCCATTCTGCAGCCCATGGATCAAGAAGTAATTTCAACTTTCAAGTCTTATTATTTAAGAAATACATTTCATAACTCTAACTGCCATGGATAATTATTCCTCTGGTGGATCTCAGCAAAGTCAATTGAAAACCTTCTGGAAAGGATTCACCATTCTAGGTCCCACTAATAACATTCACAATTTATGGGAAGACATCAAAATGTCAATAGAACAGGAGTTTGAAAGAACTTGATTCCAACCCTCATGAACAATTTTGAGGGTTTCAAGGCTTTAGTGGAAGAAGTAACTGTAGACATGGTGGAAACAGCAAGAGACCCGGAATTTGACGTGGAGCCTGAAGATGTGACTGGATGGCTGCAATATCATGATAAAATTTGAATGGATGAGGAGTGGCTCCTTACAGATGAGCAAAGAAAGTGGTTTCCTGCGATGGTGAAGATGCTGTGAATACTGTTGAAATGACAGCAAGGGGAATTAGAATATTGCACAAACTTAGCTGATAAAGCAATGGCAGGGTTTGAGAGGAAGACTCCAATTTTGAAAGAAGTTCTAGTGTTGGTAAAATGCTATCAAATAACATTGCATCGTACAAAGAAATTGGTCATGAAGAGAAGAGTCAATTAATGTGGCAAAGTTCATTTTTGTCTTATTTTAAGAAATTGCCCCATCACCCCAATCTTCAACAGCTACCACACCGATCAGTCAGCAGCCATCAACCTTGAGGCAAGACCCTCTACCAGCAAAAAAGATTATGATGTGCTGAAAGCCCAGATTATAGTTAGCATTAGGTAAAAGGTTAGATAAGGTAAAAGGTAATAGGTGGCTAGATCATGTAAGACTTGTGAATCCTAGCAAGGATTTTTGCTTTTATTTTGAAAGATATGGGAAGTGGTTGGAAAGTCATCCACCTCCTTCCTGCCAGTGATACCAGCCCGACTCATGAGGTTATTTTGTCTCAGAGGCCCAACCAGCTGTAGTCTGAGCTATTTTGCCATCTGTTAAGCCTCTGTTGGGAAAAGTCTTCTTGGATAGTTGGGTAGATGTTCCTCACTATTTGCCTCTGGTCATGTTGCTTGATGAACAAGTTGCAGTGAAGAATGAAGGCAGAGAAGTAATATTTTGTGAAACATATTTCATAACATTTCCTTTGCTGGTTAGAGCCTGTCTGTCTGTCTGTCTGTCTATCTATCTATCTATCTATCTATCTATCTATCTATCTGTCTGACTCTGTGATGTGTAGTAAGACCAACTGGCCATAAAATTTTAAAATGGAACACAATAGGGCATATTGCTTTGAGATTAACTTTGTTCATTTTAGGAATGAAGGAATGAAATAAATGATATCTTACATTCATGGTATACAATTCACTTTCATATACATAATTTAATAATCTCAATTACCACCTCTGATATGAGTGGTGGTGTTTCCATTTTACAGATGAAGACACAGGCCCAGGAGGTTAAGTAACTCAGTTACATGGATAGTAAGAGTCTCACATGTGAGAAGGTAGGGCACAAACCCGAAGTCTATTGTCTCTAAATC